CCTCTATAAGTACCTCAAAGGCTGTCACAGAGCGAAAGGCCAAGATCTCTTCTTGCTGATACCAGAGTGTAGGACGCAGAATAATCAAGTCAAGTTGCAAAAACCCAGATTCAGGCTGTACATCAGGAAAAGCTTCCTCACTGTCAGAGCAATACAATAGTGGAACCAGCTGCCTAGAGAGGAGGTGGGCTCTCCCACACTAGAGACATTCAGCAAGAAACTGGACAGCTATCTGAGTGGGATGGTGTAAATTGGTGACCTGCAACTGCAGAAGATTGGACCCGATGGCCTTCATGCCCCCTTCATAATCTATAATTCTATGATTCTCTGATCTCTTCATAATCACAATTGTATTCCACACTATTCCATTACACCAGAATGGGCAATCACCAAGTGAACCAAATAGCCATGTGATCAGGGAACATCACAATTAGATTAACTGTAGAGTTGGGATGATCTCATTCTGAAATTGCTCTGGGTAATTTCTTGTACCCTTTTTTATGTGTTCCTGACTATTGCTGAGCGGATGAGACAGTCTCTTCCATTTCCCCTAGCAGCTACTCCTCTGTTTCAGCTTTTCAGCCTACTAATAAGCCCAGTTTCCCCTTTTCTTCCAGGCATTGCTATAGCTGTAGTTTTTCCTCACCTGTTCTTCTCTGCAGCTGCTCTCCTGCTTGTTTCAGCCATCTGCCTCTTTTCTCTCTCTAGAGTTCCAGAATTCAGGCTTTTATCTCATGCTTCTTCCTCACCTCCTCGTTTTTCTTCAGAGACCATGAGATATTTTAAAAATCCCTTGCCAGGTTGCCTTTCCCTTCTGTTTAACCAGCCTTAGCTCTGGATGGCTACCAGAGCTGGGCAACCAGGGACATACGTATTCCTGAATGACTCCATACACTAAGAAATGGGCCACATGTTACAGCCCTTAACTGTCTCTCTGGACTGAATTATCCCAGCCTTAGTTTTATTTGATAGCTCCAACCTATATGCGTAGTACTCCTCGATGTTATGGCAGTGGGAAAATTCATGACAAAAGAGTCATTTTCAAGGGCATTCCTGGCTCCTGCAGTGTGGGCTCCAACTCTGTGGGAAAGTGGTCATGAGGAAGCCATCACCCACCACTCGCAATGAGGTGATGTTATTCTGTGCATTGTGTTACATGGTGTGGCATTTCTGTGCCCAACTTCCTTCCGGCTGCTGAAGGCCTGAAAATGGAACTTCCCCCTGGATTTTCTAAATCCGTTATGGGCTTCCACCAAACTGACAGTGGCCACATAATGGGACCTGTTCAGAAAATGCTTCAAATCTTTAATTCCTGATACCATTACTTTGTCAAACATACAACTGGGTTACCAACACAGTTCTCCAAATTCATTCCCTCTCACTAGCCAAGCCCTATGAACACATTGATGTTTGTTATGCATGTTATTGTTAAAACATTAAACATGTTGCTCATTCAAGGGCTCAGACTATATTGTTGTATTTTACTTTACCATAGGAGTACACTATAATGAAAACTGAGGTAAAATACTTTTCTTCCATAGGTAAGAAACTATAGGTTGACAGAGTTGAGCTTTAAACATTGTTACTGTCAGTGACCTCTGGTATTTGAAAATTAGGACTGCTTGACTACCAACTAATGTTAAAAATTAATCTTTTGATGGTGGCTTTTAAAATTTGTGAGATTATAAAAAACTTAAAACTTTTAAGTTGTCTTTATAAATCATATGCAGAAATAATATGACTTTGTAAAAAAAAAAATCTGAAGTGAAAGCAATTACCATATGTGAGGAACTGCAGGTTGTAGGTTGACAGAAAGTGAGTTAAAAAGACAGGATATGGATGCAATATTGCTGCAGTAAGTGACCTCTAGTGGTTGAAACAAGAATATTTTGACTACTAACATTAAAAGCCATTTTCCCCAGCGATTTAAACTCTACGGCAACAAAGTGGCCAAACAAGATTTGCGACTATACCCATATTTATATTCACACATACGTGTGTACACATCAATAACTCAAGAACAGGTTTCTCAAGATAAAGGCTGCAAAGCTGTGGAATGAAGATCTGGGTAATTCCAACAAATGAAATTTGATTTTAAATTGTTTTTATTCTTACATTTTATATTTCCTGGAGAATGATTTTTATTGAATGACCACAAAAATAGGTAGGAAGTAACAGTAAGCAAATCTGTCATTTCTTAAAACCAACACCAGACAGTTCTATAGCTATGCCACAATTCCATCTCATTTACCATTCCCAGTGTTTCATAAATCCATTTTGGAAATTTGCCATTTTTACACTTTTGAATTTAAATTTTAAAAAATGTGATGGTGGCATGGCTAACTTCTAATGAAGTGGATTTTAACTGAGAAAAGAAACCCCTCTTCTCCAGGGATGCAGTCCAGATCTTATTTTCACTGGCCCATTTGTTCTTTTTGTTTCTGTTAAGTTTCATACTATTTGAGCCTTCATGTCTACATGAACATGTTGAAAGGAAAAAAGACTGGTATCTCACAAAAATGAACAATTTTGTTTACAGTGTATTTATGTCAGTCAAACTTTTCCATTATATCCTACAATTAAATCTTTGCTGAGAGTGAAGAGAGGCAAGATATTTTCCCTCAGCAAACCATAAGTGGCTATCATGTCAGTTGTCTACTATATAATTTTAGTGTTAAAGTTAAATGTCAGGATTCCAGTGAAATGAGTGATGCTCTGCTGGACTGAAATGTCTACCTTGACTACAGTGTAAACACAAAAGCACCACTGCCAAAAGCACCACTTTTTAAACAATATGTAGACTTACTTATGCAACATTTATTCTGCATTGAGGATCTTCACAGCCAAGCATTGGTGTACATCTTATTACTTATTTTACAAAGAGCATCAAGTGGACTGTATAGCTCCTTAATTTATTCATATTATTTAGTTTTGATCAAATAGAAACACAGAACAAGCAGAGTGCAAACAATGTGTAGGGTTTATGCTCACCTGATCTAATTTGGTTTCTTTTCATGGAATAATGCAGGTGTTTCCAAATAGCATTCTGAGGAGCACTTTGTCATTTTCTTATACAAATTGTCAAGCAAAATGTAGTAGAAGATCCTAAATGTCTGCAGTGCTACCATTTTAGATACTATTAATTCCAAATGCTGAACATGCAGGCTTAATTAGTCATGATGGATGACTAAAGCTGCAATTGTAGAATTGAACATTTAAAAATAAAAGTGTCTTACACAGTCCACATCCCACATATCTCAGTTCTGTCCTCATGTGAATGGATTGTATTCTCTAGCCCTGCTTCAAGTTCCATTCAAGGACCGTCAAGTTTCGCCTCCATGTGAAGTTTGGCCCTGTGTGTGTTGCTCCTCTTCTCTGTCTTCTGGATAGAATGTCAAACAAATATCCCATGCCTTGTTTTAGCTTGGCTGAGCAATGGTTTTGGTTTGGTGTGACACATTTTTACGTTTATTGTTCTTAATCTGTGATAAGGTGTATACCTGCCTTGAGCCTTGCAAAGGTGGTAAATGAGTGAATAACAAAATTGAAAACCTGAAATGACATTGCATAGTTTGATTGACACTTAAAGCAGTGTAGCTCAGTCCTTAACATTAGGATGTCCTAGGTGAAACATCTCTAACATACAGAGCAATCCTATAGCCCCTGAACAGTGTGTAGAGGACTGTAGGATTTTTCAGTTTTCCATATCTGAGGATGGAAAAGAACACCAATCTGGAGATCTGTACTCAGATTCTTCACCACATATTCTCAGCCGATACAAAAAGAATGGCACAGGCTGCTTCTCTGAGGTCATTAGAATACCCTTGAAGAAGTGGGTTAGGAAACTGGGAGGTGAAGAGACCAGCACCACCAAGATACCTGGCGATGCTTCAGCCCCAGCCCTGGTTGCTCCAAAGTGCCTCAGCTGGATGGCTGAAATCGGAGCAGGAGGAAGCCCGATGTACCTCTGTGTTCCTTCTACTCTAAGTAGGGTACTCATAGTCTTCCAGGTTCAGAGAGTTACAGGCAGCCCTGCTGTATCACACCCTTGGCTGATAGCCATATTGCTAAGTAAGGTTTTTGAGAAGTGTAGGGGTGAAATGTTGTCCTTAAAAATAAAACAAAACAACACAGCTGTTTGTTTGCTTAGGATCACTTATTAAAAATAACAGATTTTCATGGTAAAATAATGTGCACTGTGCAAATAAACACATAACAAATATGCATTCGGGAAGATCTACCAGTTAATATAAAACTAGAAACAATCACAATCAAATGGAATTCCTTGTATGTGTGTATTCTTTACTGCTCACAGTATGCTGCAACCTTTATCTTCAAAACACAGATAGGACAAGAACATAAAGTGAAAACTCATAAAATCTAGTGTAAATTACTAATCCATTGAGCTATTTTTGTTGTAAACATGTCTGAAGCTGTAAGAGCCTTGTAAAATAAGATGAAGATTTTAAGAACTTAATTATGTGTGCACAAAGGGGAAAGAGCTCATTCCACTGCAGTGTGAATTTTCTGGCAGACATAAATTAATGTGAAATAATAATTAGCTGTGCAGTAAAGCTTACGTCAAACTTATAATGTAAGCACATAAAAACAGATTTATGGCTGCAGGTTCCTCACTTCTACCTGAGTACACCTTTACTAGGTCCAATTCTGTTAAGACTGCAGTTGTAATCCACTAAGCATTACTGCTTCAGACTCCTACTCCTGCATTCTCCCCCCCCCCCCCGCAAAAAAAAGCCAGTCAGTCCTATCCAGGGTCATCAAAAGATGCTCATCTAAGCCAGAGCAACAAACAACACTTTCACCACTCCCCCAACCAACTTTCCTAGTACCCAAGACCAGGCAAGTTATTCTGGTACCTGAGACAGAAAATCTCATCCCCTCTCAGGAAAAAAAAAATGCATCAATTATAACGCATTGCCTGGGAGTGCCCCCAACTCAATCCAATTCAGGCACATTCTGAAGGAGGAAATGCAATTAAGTTTAAAAGCATTTAAAAATATTTATTCATAATGCATCTTTTTGTGAAGATACTTTTGGTTTACGGTTTTCCACACTATACATGATTTCAGAAGCGTATCAACTCTGAGGTGAAATACTTTGGGGCACAAAATGAAAGCCAGAATCTGAAGGACAGGAAGAAAGTGGGGCGGGGGAAGCAAAGAGCACAGAAAGTGAAAAACAATCCACACTTCCATACTACAAACAGGAATGCAAATAAACTGCAAATGTTATTACAATGCCATCACTTTAAGTCAGAGGTTAAGTTCCTTCTCTATACAAATGTCTTGTGTGGGCTAGAAAGCAGCTTCAGTACACATGTCTCTTTCCAGGGGAGAAATCTTGCAAATGTGAGACACTCATATGATGTTGTGCTCCTGCTCTTGAGCCAGCTGCTGGGGCAGTATCAATCAGCTGCTCAGAAGGGAAGCAAAGGACTAGAGCTGGTTAGGATGCCTGTTGATTATCTGACAGGGTTGGGGGCACACTTAGTTGGACAGAGGACAAAGTTCTTAATACCTTCAAAAGAAATACTGACTGTCCAAGACAGGTGTAGGCAGCTTGGTGCCCTCCAGAGGTTTTGGCCTACAGCTCATGTCAGCCCCAGGTAGCATCGCCAACAGCCAAAGATTCTAGAAGTTGTAGTACCAAGCATCTGGGGGGAATATCAGGTTTCCTACTCCTGGTCTGGGGATTTAGGATATGAGTCATGAAGCAAGAAAGCCAAGGAGATCTCAGGCATTAATCTTATCTGTACTCTCCTAAAACGAAAAATTTGAAAGGTTGTAAAAACAATTTCTCTTCCTCCCTCTCTTTTCAAACACACTCACATGAACTAGGAACTATGGAATTTTCAGGGGGAAGAAAGGAGTGGTTGATAAAATCCAAACTCACTATTATTTTAGAGAGAAAAGTGGAGTTTAACTTCCATTTTTGCTCAGGGTGATCATTGCAGGAAATCTAGGCTCCAGCAGACCCGATTACTGAGCCCAGTTTCTCCCTGCTGTCATCCCAGGGTAGAAGAGAGGGCTAAACTTCACTCCATCATTTAACAACTGTGGGATGGAGGAGCCTATGGCTTCCTGTGTCAGCTGATGAAGCAGCACAGCCATACTCCCCTCTCTTAGCCAATACAATTCTCTGTCCCCTGTGCAGGGCTAGATCTGTGCTTGACTGCCATGGATAATCCCTGACAACAATGGGAAACAACCATGTAGCAGTCATGACCAAAGCCACTTTTTGTGGGAGACTTGTGTGTTGTTTGAACTCCAGCTCCGTTAAGGGTATTTTCTCAATAGAAAATATTTTCCTGCTCCCGAAATTCAAACTCTCAGTACCTCAACACACAGGTGGTCCAATTACATACATATACCTTATATAACACACACACACACACAGAAAATAAGGTGAAGATGTGCTATGGAAAAAAACCCCAATAACCAAGCTTCTACCTGAAATGTTTCTCTCTGTAAGATAATGCTAATCATGTCAGATATACTTTAAGATGGCTATTTACATGCAACAGATTGTTATTACAGACAGTCTGTAAAGCGCAAGTCCTGTTTCCAGTATAATAGGGAATTGGTGGGAAAATTTATAACATATATATATATACTCTCACTTAAACATACTGTTTAAATGCAACAAGAGAATCTGTGGCCCTTAATACAGAGGGAGATTTTTACCCCATGAAAGGGATCTCTCACCATGGTTTTTTAATTATTGTCACACTTCATCACTGTATGTGTGAAAAGAACATTTTGCAGTTACAGAGAGAAAAGATTTGAAAAAGGTGAAGGCAAGAGAAGTTGTAACTTTTTCAAGGCAATATTGACACAATTCAATCAGAGTCTTCATCATCAAGATAGTCCTCTGCATTGCTTAATGTTCGCAGTATGTCTAGAAAGAAGAACAAAAGTCATGTAAAATAGTCAATTAAGAGGAAGGCAAGCAATTTTGAGTGCTTTAAGATGTCTGTCATTTCCTGTACCTCAACATTTTACTAAGACGATTTTTTCACATTTTGTATGTATCTTGATAGGCTTATAATTAAAAAGGACTCTCCTGCATCAGCTTGGCATTCTGCCATGACTGTGAAAAACAATTTCATCCCCTGCTCCACATACCTTTGAAAAGACTAAAACAAACTCAGCTCTGTCTTCTGTGAAAACAAGTCTATTCTATAGGGGGCTATCTGTCTGCTGGATTACAGCTTCTCTAGGGGCCTTCCAGATGTTAGCTCCTAGCACTATCAAACAAAAGACACTATGCAGTCATATCACCTTTCCATCCTCGATGGACCTTGTGTGCTAAGCAAAGATAGTGAGAAAGGTGTGGAAACACGGGAACATTGCAGAAAGATGTTAACATCTGGACTGCTCATAAAAATTCCATGAATGGATCAGGAAAATTACACAATAAAAGCCTTATCTAGAAATATGCTTGGTATGCATTTGCTATTACATGTCTGCCTTGACCAGAAAGACCATCCCTAACCATGTCACATCATCACATTTGGTGTGATTGTTCCAGGAATACTCAAAATTGATTCATTGATGCAGCATTTGTGGAAGCTATTTGAAAAGCCAGATGAGAAAAGAACAGATGAAATGTTACCTTGCCCTTGTTTCTTTTTGAGTAAGGAAGCACAGGCAGCATTAGTAGCCATGTCCAGAGCCAGTTTTTTCTCATTGTTTCTTAAATCTGTTCTGGCACCTTTAAGAAAACAAAACACAGGGCATCATTATTCCACATTCCTGAAACTAGAACCATACACCTTTACTCTTCTTATGAACATTTCTCATGTGTTTCCTCTCTGACTCCCAACACCAGATATGTCGGACTTTAATCACACAGGTTTCCAAGGCATCTGCACAGAGGCACAGCCAATGGCAGTTTTCAACTGTTAATGAAAGTACCAGACTGTGTATTAGACTCAAAGGGCTGGAAGTGAATTTGGGGGTCATCTAACCTGCCTCCAGCGAGAGGACTCCAAGCATCACCAGCCAAAAAAGCATTGCAACTACTCCCTTTTCCCCTTTAATGGATTTTATATGGTAAGACAGAGATTGAAGAAATGCTGGGAAAATGTGAGAGGGCTGCAAACTAAAGGCATCATCAACTGGACACCCCATCAAATTCTGTGAATGAGGCCAGATGATTGTAGAAAAGCCTTACCTGGGGCTCAGTATAGGATCAACCCTTTTTGTGATCATTATGTTTAAACTTAGCATAATCTCTAGTTCCTCTCAACATTAGTGAAATAATTTCTAAGACAAATGGGCAGGCCCAGAATAAAGCCAGCACTTCCCTACGTTTTTTCTCTAAGCAAGAAGAAAGGACTATTACAGAAGGAATGATGCAGCCAGGCTTCACGTATCATGGCTGAAACCCACTAGCAGAGACATCCTTCAGAGAGTTACTGATTGCAGCAGAAATGCCATAGATTCGCTACTGCAGTTACGGTCTGACTGCGCCTCTACGGATGTGCCATTTTATGCCATTGTTTGAAGGTTTACATTCTGGCAGACAACAGTAACAAATACACAAAGAGCTTGGTCCACATCTCTGCAACTTAAGGGACATATGAAGCTCTTTAAAGCTCAGTTGGTCAACTTAGGAAGCTTTAGTAGGCCAAGTGAGAAAAAAAGTGGCAACTGCATTGCAGAAAGTAAAGAGAGTCTTCAAAATCAGCTGAGTTACAGTACACAATGTAAATTAGGCACGTGAATATGGATAGCCTAGGTCAGACGCACAAGCAGGAGTTGTGTCTGGACGTTCCATCCTTCTCTTTTGTACCAGGATGAGGGATCAGGATACCTGAGAAAACACCTTCTTCCCAAACCAATCTGCAAACCCTACTAGCCTGCCTGATGATTTCACTTGAATGCATGGCCTGACAGGAGTCCACCTGTGGAAGTCTTCAGGGCAATAGCTCCATTTTTTTAGAACTCCCTGTCACATTGCACTGTTATCAAACATTTTTTCCCTTCAGGAAACCTTCTTGATCTAACTAGATACCTTTTTGATATGTTTTATTGATCTTGTTTTAAATACATTTTATTCTGCTGCCATGCTATGCTATGGTATATTAATATCCTGCCTTTTTCTACAGGGATGCCAAAGTGGCTTACATAGTCTTTTTTCTCCTCTCCATTTCATTGTCACAATAGCCCTGTGAGGTAGGTTAGCAAAAAGTCACTCTCTAAACAGCACTGCAGAGTGGGCACTAGAACCTGGATGTCCGGAGCCTCAGTCCAACACTCCAACCCACAATTTAGCCACAATTTTTTAGCGTTCAATAATCTAAAATCTCCATACTGGAATATGAAAAAGTATATAAATCTTGTAAATAAAATTACTAATTAGGATTTCCTGGAGTTATCACTGAACTATAATTTCCCTTTATACTAGATCTAATTATTTATGGTTACCATGATTGGAACAACTTAAACCAACTTCTAACAGTTGTTTAAAGCACTGACTTCTTTTGACCCTGGTAAGCATACTTTCCCTGTTCAAATATAACAGGAAACTATTGAACTCTGTTGCACCTTATAGCACAAGGAAGACTATGTTAACACAGATCTCATGCATTTTGACCTATAATGAACATCCAAACTGGCCTATGTGGATGACACTAAATAGATGAGTTGATAAATGTAAATTACCTTTCGCCAGCAGTGTTTCTACAATATCTGCATAACCTTTCCATGCGGCTGCATGCAAAGCTGTGTCTCCCAGTTTATTCTGTGAAAGTCAGAGTGAAATAACCATCAGGGTTAAAATGTAGTAGTGAAAGTTTAATTCATTTTAATTGCAAGAAATCATATTGTTACAAATTGTTCCTGAAATAAGTGATTCCCTACCTGTTGGTTTAGTTCTACATTTGGCTGCGCCAATAATACTTCCACTATGTCTACAAAAAGTGAAAAGAAGAGGAAAACATGAAAAACTGGAATTCGTTTTCTTGTATTCACACTACAGCTAGAAAGTCAGGATCCAGTCTCAATCAGCTCAAAATACGCATATCATTTTGCTAAAAGTCTGAGAGAATCAAAGTGACTAAACCCTAGGAAGGAATCAGTATTTAAAATATAATAAACTTGTTTTTCTTTTTCTGCTTTGTTTATTAAGAACTTTTGATTTTAGACCCACATTAAGTCATTTTGTAATGCATTTATGTATTAATGCTTCCCCACTGGCCACAATTTAAATTATATCATTTAGAAATTCAGGCTGTATTATTTATTGCAGTGAATTATGAAATAGCAGCTGGCTTGTTAACTTAGCAAAAGCAAAGTCCAAGAAAATACACTACTCTTAGGGTCTAATCTACTCTTGTGTAAGAATGGAAAAGAAATTAATTTGGTTCACATTTTAACTTGGATAAGTTGCATTTCCCAAACCAATCTCCAAACCAAAATGTAGTTACTGTTCAATATTTACAATTATATTATTTAAAATTGTGCACAAACATGCATATATTAGGGAAGACTACACACAAAAATGTGCATATTAATGAACCTAATAGTTAAAATGTTAGATATAAGTAAAATTGTTTGAAATATATTAGACAGATATGTATGGGGGGTTTGAATATATACAAAATGTATGTACTAGAAGAGATGTTCCTAAAATGCATCTATGTTTTTGTGAAATCTAACAAGTTTGCAAACCAATGGAGAACCCAGAGGGATTTATGAATGAAAAATGAAAAACTGAGTGAAACTGAAATTGACAGGTTTGCCTGTCCTCACCTTTGTGTCCACCGTGGCATCCCCAGTACAAGGCTGTGCTTCCAGCTTTATCTAAGCCATTGACACCAACCCTGTTGTCCAAGCATTCTCTTAACCAGCTCAGGTTTCCTGAAACACATACGCACAAAATGACGGGACACCTTTTTTAAATTATTAAATCCAATGCACAGAAAACCACAGAAGCCACTACTGTGCAATACATTTCATTTCAAATGCTGCTCAGTTTGCATCAAAAAAGAAGTTATCAAGGCGCATCATTGCAATATGAATGGAAACCCTTTGCAAATGTTACCTTCAAAGATCTCCTTGAAGCTATGCATTATGAATTATCCACACAATCAAATATCTTTTATCTGATAAGAAAGATGTCTTAGGCTGCAACTAGGAGTACACACCACTGAACTCAACGGAATGTATTTCTGAATAGAGGATTGCACTGGACATTTCTAAAACCGAGTATATATAACCTTGGAGAAAAATTACAATAGCACTGATCCAGTGTCTCCTGCACACTTGCAAGCGTTGCTTCACTTTAAGAGTGGAGATAACTCTGAACTGGTGCCAAAAGCTAAACCAAACTGGCAAGGGCCTTTAGTGATAACATAACAGACAGGGCTATCCTAAGCTGGGAGGGAGGACATGGGAGGAACTGCCACTACCCAAGCACTGCCTGCTTGTTTCAGGCAGGGCAGAAGAGGAAAGGCCAAGTTCTGGGAGTTGCAGTGGGAGGGAAACCTCTTGTTGCGTGAGCAGATGTCCACCCACCGCATTTCTATTTTAACAACATTGAACAACCTGATCAGTTTCACTTCCACTGAACACAATGGGAAGAGACCAGATAAACTTCCAGCAACGTGGCTAATTAGGATGTGGTCTGGTTGCTGATGATGCAACTATTGCTGTTTAACATGGTCCAGCAGGACACAAATAGATCATGGATCTTTTTATTACAAACTCCATCTGAAGTTGCACCCACCTCTCTTGGCAGCTTCATGTAGGGGATTATCAATGGATTCTGCTTGCTCAGCCACTAAAATAAAGGTAAAAGCACACAATGTTTTAACCAGCAGCATTAAGTTTGGTATCTTCTAAATGCAGTTATTATTACACATAAATCCAGCCCATTTCTCCTGCTAGCAAGGAACCCCAAGTGCATTAATTAGCCTCCTTCTTGCCATTTTAGCCTCACAACCATCCATTGAGGTATGCTAGGTTGAGAGTCTGTGACTGACCCAAAGACACCCAGTGAGCTTCATAGCTAAATGGGGACTAGAACCTGGATCTCCCACAGAGGCTTCCTTGAGAGATGGGTTTCTGATGAAAGACTAATTTATTCCTTCAAAACACTAGTCTCCTTCAAATAACCCTTCAAACACCAATAATCAAAGAAGTTAAAAAAAGCATAGTCAATCCTCTGTTGCATAAACTACAGATAAATATATATTAAAACAAAACCAAAAAACCCATGAAACCATGTCACAAAGCTCCACACGTCTTGACTGTGCTTAAGGGTTATCCTTGTTATCAAGAGTTTCCCATTCACTTCAGGGAGTAAAAATATACACGCCAGAGTTGTGCACACAGTGTCCCTGATATTGAAGTGAATGGTGAATTCCTGTTCATGCAGAACTCTGTATATGTAATGGAATCATTGCTTTTGGACTGGAACTTAAACCTTTACACCCTTTTTTCTACAACAAATTAACATTCAATTCTAGGGGGAAAAAGAGCTATTAATTCTGTGACCTTGAAACGCTGCCATCATTGGTACCAGTATCAAAAACACAATTCACTCTGCACTGCCTTTGGTAAGAGACATTGCTTATGTCTATTGGGGCAAGAGGCAATTTTTAAAAAATAGCATGGATTTTAAATAAAATATATGGGGCAATGATAATTAGAGCACTAATTTACAGTCCCTGACGCAGGACTCAAAATATGGTGGGCAGCCTCTCTGCATCAGTGTCTGCCAGGTCTCTTGCATACCCTGTGGGAATTTCTTCCATAAAAGAAAACGCAAAATTAGAAGAAAGATGAAGTGCAGCCCTTCAGTAGTTTTATGCAGGGTGCTTCTAGACAGACAGGAATCTGCAAGTGTCCAAGGCTTTGAGCTGTTGCAGTGCAAATAAGATAAACTGTTAGGAGAAACCTGAGACAGCAAAGTCACTTTATGCATAGGGATCAGCTTTGCTTCTGATCAGCTTAATGCATTGCTTGGCTTTCAGAACTCTGACTGGTTCAGCCATAGTTCCTCCTCCAGGACAGCCTCTTTTTGTGGCAACCAGAGGCAGAGCTTTGTGGATGGTGTACCCAACCTGTGAAATGGAATCCCAAGGGAAGCTTGCCTGGCACCCACACCCTAACCCTTTCCAGCACCAGATGAAGGCATTCCTGTTCTTAGTATTCACTATTTTAAAAACTGTGGATTTCACTATTCACTATTTTAATTCACTATTTTAAATTTTATTTTTTAAAAAAAGAACTGCTAGTTTAAATGCCAGTAAGAAAACTTACTGCTCTACCTCCACGCCTGAATGCACAACTAGTTCATAAAACTGATCTGATGTCTTTTCCAGTGCCTCACAGTAACTTTTAAAAAACATTTTATCGGTATTTAAACTTGCATTCATCCATTTTAACTAGGTTCATGTGTCATTTTCATGCTGCTTTTATACTTTTGCTGTTTTAGCTTATTTTTTGTCATTTGTCATAAGCTGCCTTGATGTGATTGAAGGGTGGGGCATAAATTTAAATAAGGAAAGGAAGAAAATGGGGCTCTGCAATCCTGCAGATGGCACCCAAGAGTGTTGTAGTAAAACATTCTTCCAATTAAAAGGCATATTTCCGTGGAAGTCCTTTATGTTGTGCTCAGTGCTCATTTACTGGTGGCCTGTTCTGACATGAGATTGGAAGATTTCCTTTGGATCCTGCTTGTAGATGCTCCTAAAATATTTATGTAATTATGAATTTCTTTTCCTTCTATGGTGGATAGCTACATTTTGAAAAGCAAAATGAAATAGGAAAATACCATAATTGCTGGGAATCAGTCCAGTTCTTCCTTTGCAGGTTCCCTTCCACCAATTGGTATCACTCTGGAGGAAAAAGAAATTAATGTTGAAAAAGTATTTGAAAACCCAGCATGCCACTTCACATTATTGCTTCTGCATAATATGATTTATCTTTAACTTACTTGCGTTTATGAACTTACCATATCAGAAATGTAGATAATATCCCCTTCTTCAAAATAGAGTTCATCAGGCTGGAAGAATAAACATGCTGATTGAGTTTAAGGGCTGATATAAAGCATAAGTTTAAAAAGCTTGGGATTTTGGGTTAACACTCAATCCTCCTACGCCAAAGTCTGAGTATTAGGATCATTTCACTTAGCTTGTAGAAGAAGCATATGTTATTGTTCCCTTGCACAAATGGCAATTGGTCATATAAGCACACCCTCATTCCATATTCCAGGTCAACTCATGCCTCTGTGAGAATTTCCAAACCAAGTCCACATGTGTTCTTTTATTATTGTTATTTTGTTACGATTATGCTAATACCTGCTCCACATTATGCTAATAACTGCCTGCTCCACATTCTCTGCATACAGGAACTCTGCAGGAAGGGGAGTAGAGAAGCCAGTGCCAGGCTTGAGGGGTTGGGCAGCAGAGGAGTCTCAGCTGGACCCAGCCATGGAGGTGGTTGGCTGCAAGCAGCACGCTATTTCTGTATTCATGGAGTCCATCAACACAGAGTTACTCCAAGCAGTGCAGGAAGTTTAGATTGCAGGCAGCTTGCAGCCATCCAAAGCCAAATAAAAAACAGACTGAAGGACAGCAGGTGGCCCCAGTCCACAGGAGACATCAGCATCACTGGACCCTCAGCATAGATTCTGGGTGCCAAGTCCCAGGCCTGAACAGAGAAACACATTTCCTGTTAATAGAGGAACATCACTTCCAGAATAGAAGATGAAATCATTTTCTGTTAACTTTTTCCCCAACAAGGTTAATGAAAATGGGCACCTTACGTTGAGCTGTATTGCAAGACATGCGAGTCTCACACTGCAGCTGCTCTGTTCTTACCTGGCCTCCAACTAGGTTCCTGGGAGCACAGCCACAACCTTGCCTTTCTACTTGTGCACTGAGAAAGTGAGGAGACACTCCTGTACTGGTAAATGGGGAGCTGAGGAAGCTAAAAAGAGTCAAAAGGTGGTCCTGCATGGCCAAAAGAGGGAGGATGGAAACCTTCACAGATGTGTAGGGGGAGAAAAGCAGAGGAGCCAGAAGAGTGGTCCATCCCACCTTGACAAGGTATCTCTGCCTGCAAATGGAGAGATAACTGTGGGCAAAGCAAAGGAAACAGGACTTTTGCTGTGCCCTGCTGCCATCTGCTGCTTTGTTGTTGAATAATAAACCAGCTAACAAGTGCAGGGGGCCAAACTTGTCATTAGGGAGGGAGGAACTTGCAATGGGTTTTCCAGACTTCTTTGTCTGCTATGTAGCTGAGGGGCACCCATTTTAATCAGAACAAAAACAGCCACAGATCTGCTGTAACATGTGTAATTTACCCTCAAGTCTCAAACTTAAGGGATGACTTCTTGTTAAGTAGCTGTCCACACGTCTCACCTCTACCTGCTCTTGATCTCCCTGTCCTCCCTCCAATTTCTTACTATCCCTCTTCGCCATTATTCATATATAGACACAAGTCCCACACCAACACAGCTGCACACCTAAACACCCAGGCTTCTTGCCACCTTTCCCAATATCAGGTCCTGCATCTGCGCAGTTTCCTGCAATATATATAGCATTCGGCTTGACATGGTGGCTAGACACTTTCCTATACCTGAAAATAGGGTCATTGCTCCTTGGTCTTTCAGTAAAAGAGAGTCATTATGCTCTCAGCCCTTTGGGGAAGTTCTAGAAAGCCCAGGCATTCTAAATCAGGCTAGCATCTGGTCACTTCTAGAGACCGAAAACAGATTCTAGATGACCAGGTGATATCTCACTGATTCCTCCCTCAGGGTGAATTGAGGAAAAGATGTGATACCAAACAAGACCTGCTACATTCACTCAGTTGGACAGTCCTGCAAGACTCACTGGCTGAATGCTCTGACTCTCCTTGCATCTCCAGCAAGTTGAGAGAGATATAAAGATGAGAATCCATTGTGCACTTTCCTAGCCAAGCTAATACAGATCAGCTTGCTGGCTGCTCTCCTTTAGGCGGGGTTAATTTCTGAGAGAGACTGGAAGAGAACAGCTTCCAAAGTGGGGTGGAATGCGAACATGTGCCAGAGGAGCACTGGTGAGGAGACTACATCCATGAGGAGAACACTACCCTGATATTTTTATTTACAAGCTCACTTTAATCTAAGCAACTTCTGCACCCAGGTTGGAGAATGACTTGGTAAGATAGCGCTTAATTGAATTCTGTTATTTGTGGAATGATTGATTGACTGAAAACCTGTAGAGAGAAGGCCTTAACTAGTGCTGTAGCAGAAATCATCTCAGTTTCCCTAATCCACAAGCCATTACTGATACTCCTGAGGTGCTCACCTTCAAGTTTTGGGCAGAATATAAGAACAGCACTCTCAGTGACTGCACCCTGTGCAGAATTAACAGGAACAAACTATTCTAACATCTTAAAGGAGTGCTTTGGTGAGCTTCTTACTGTTTATCTGCCATCACAATGATCAGATCAATGTTTTCTCTTTAATGGATTCAGATAAAAATATGAAGACTACTCAAAATCTTGGATGATACCACATAGCTTTGCCATGTCTCTCCATGAGCAAAAGAAGAATGACAGCCCTTCTCTTTCCATTTTAAATTGGTAAAAACTGTGCTACTACTTTACTCCTCCTGTCCTTTTCAAGCTGTTTGTTCAGGAATATCTGCTGAGGCCAGAGACATCTTCACACAATCACTTGAGAAGTGGCTTTTCCCCGCAAGAAAGATCAATCAAGAGCAATCCCAAGAAGATGCCTGCTTCAGTTCTGGCAAATCCCAGTGCATGAAATATGCAACGGAAGCCGACTCCTTTACTGGGCTGAGATCCCTATGACTGGTCTACTTTTATTTAGAGGCCAGCGACAGTCATATAAGTCCTTGCTCCTGTGCAAGAGGATCAACTTGCAGCATCTGTATCCCAAAACTGGATCTTTTACTTCTATGTGTGCAATGGAAATACCCCTTCCCTTTTTTATGATTATAAAGGAATGACTGCCCAAAATAAGTTTTCCCTTCTATTCTATGAGAAATATGAAACATAAATACTTACAGTTCTGGGTTCAAATGTATACAGGGCTCTAAAAACTTTGACCTGTCCTAAAAACCAGAGAGAAATAAGCATTAGCAACAGAGTATATCTCCTTTTCCTAAGAGAGGCTTACTCAAACATTTATGTGAGTAGCTGAAACATATCAAGGTAAATTTTGACTGCAGCAGGCCTACTGCTCTCCAGTGTGCGATAGCGCATCATGCTGGATTTGGATGAGTTTGAATCCCTCCTCACTCCAAGCTCTCAGAATGACCTTGCTATGAATATCAAGTGGGAGGGGAGAGTGATTCACACCATCCAGGGGTTCCTTTCAGGAAGAATGAGACTAAAATGCAATAAATAGATACTGCTATTAGGTAGCCAGTGTCCATTGCCAATGTTCCTTAACACATTAACCAGGATTCCAGCTTGGTGGGAGATGGATAAAAGAAATATTTCTTCACACAGCATGTAAACTAGGGAATTCACTGCCACAGGAAGTAGTGATGGCCACCAGTTTGAATGACCTTAAAAGGGGATTGGACAAATTCATGGAGGAGAAGGCTATCAATGGCCTTGCTGTCTATGTGCACCCTCCATTAGCAGAAGTATCATGCCTACAAATACCAGTAGCTGAGGAGCTTGGCCAGGAGGGAACTGTGGTACCCAACCTGCTTGGGGATCCTGTGGGCAGCTGGTTTGCCCCGATGTGAACACAGTGCTGAACTGGATGGGCCATTGATATGATCCAGCATAGCTTTTCCTATGTTCCAGGGTCGCAAACCAACCCTTTGCACAGAGGGTTGTGGGATTAACATTAATCCCAGATGTTAACCCTCATTACACAATTAGAAAATTATATTTAAGGTCTGCAGGAAGATTACATAAAACAAATTTTGTTAAAACTAGGAACATTTTGTAGGACGTGACAACCTTAATGACAGATGGGGAAGCTACCAAAAGAGCTACACAGAGTAGAGGGAGGACACAGGAAAAAGTTGCTACTAATTCTTCCTATCTCCTAACATGCAACAAAATTTTATGCATGTCTACTCAGAAGGGATTCCCATTGAGTTTACTGACTTAACTTTCAGGAAACTGTGCATAGGATTGCAGCTGGACAAAACAAGTTTGTTAACCACAAACAAGTGTGGAAACCGGAGGACTTAGTCTGGAGAAAGAGTTAGGGCAGCAAAAAGTCTAGGACTGGAACTGTCACCATCCAAATCCTGGAGCCAGAACTCAGGCTAAGATATACGTTTATGTATTACTGGTTGTTGCTGAACACCTCTGTTATGTGGCAGATTGAAGGGTGTTTACAGTAAGGCATTAGCTTTTAAATGCAATTATATTAATCTGGGTCTGGAATGGAGCTGCCTCGTATTAAGCACAGAGATTGAGTTTTACTTTATTTATTACTACTACTACTACGATTTACTCACTTGCAAAACTCATTAGCTACCTTAACATGACATACAGTTCAATACAACGAACATTCAAAAGCAGCCACTTTAAAGAAAACCTTCTAAAAATCAGCAGCTATAGAGAACATCATAAAATGTGGATGTGTCTTTTTTGTCATGATACTTAATAGGCATCTTAGGTATGATGATGGCAGATCTTTAAGTATTGATCTGTCCTCTTATAATAGCAGAGTGGAGACATGAGTGACAAATACAGAGGTTTTCCTCACCCACAGCTTACAATCATCATCTGTCTTGCCCAGACCTCAGACAACATGATAACCTATTCTCAGAGTTTGAGTATGGGTTGAGTGTCAGTTGTTGTTGAACTGTGGGTTTTTGTTAAAACATGGGTTGTTGTGTTTCTGAATTCAGCTGCACTAACAACCCATGGTTTGTTGAGCAGAAAGAACCCAAGAAGAAAACCAATGGTTTGCTGTTGGATAGCAATTTGTGGGTTGTTCACCATCATCTGTTGTCACAGCTGGTCTGAGGCACAGTATTCTATGTTTCAGCAACAGCCCATGGTCTGATGACAACTCATGCTCAATTTTTGAGTGTAGATTGTATTGTCTGAACCTGATCAGAGACTGGATTCACATACTACCTGCAAAGCAACCTTGCTCTGTTTCCAGGGCACACGGACTCTTGGCCAAAATTACCTGGCAGATACTCACATGGTCAACCTGGGCAGTGCAGTTTCCATGCTCCCTGATCCACCCCTCTGCCCTCTCCATGCATCCTGGCAGCCCCCATGAGCAGAATCCCCATCCTTTCCCTTTTCTTGCCCATGAACTGCAGCAGCTTCCTGATCGCTCCACTGCAGCCCTGAGGCAGGTTCCCCCTTCCTCCTCCTGACTGTACCTGCGCAGTGCAGAAATTGCAGTGGCTGTGGTGTTTCCCAGTCCCCACAGAGATTTTTATTAAATGAAAATAAAGAGTTTCACCATGATTCCTCCCTTCAGCCTCCATGTATTTTGCTTGTTTCCCTGTTTCCAAAAGTAAACAGAAAGAGGGACACATTGCTTGGCCAAAGGGAATACAATGAGCAATGAGATGTCTGTTGCTAGTGGGTTGAGGGCAGCAGACATCACAGGCTAGAAGCAGCCATTTCTGTGGCTGTTCTTGCGAGTGACTCTATGGTGTTTCCATACCAACAATGGTAAAATGGTGATTCTGGGTCCAGGCAACCAGACAAGCTGCAGTGAAGTGTGGAAACCTTAGAACTGACTGTTGAGTCTCTCAGTGATTTCAGAAAACCAATCATACCACAGAGGAACTCTGAAACTGGGTGTGCTCAACACAACAAACCAACAACATTTAAGATTTCACTACGGCTTCTCATGTTGTACAAAATCACCCAAAGTAGAATAAAGTGAGTCTGATAGAAAGGCTATGGCGAAGAAATCAGCAGCTAAGAAGACATTCCATCCCTTATTTGCATGCCTCTTTCCATTACAAATGGACCTCCTGCCCCAGGGTGTTGGACCAAGGGATGTGTGAGGAATCCATTTGGGGTGGGAATCCACTGGATTCCCTGGGTTTGGCTCCTTGGACTCTCTTCCAGTTTGTAGTGGCCTTGAGTCTCCGTTCCTGGCAAGTGTTCCCAGCATTTGTGGGGCACTGTCCAGAAACTGAGCTCCACGCCTTGCACAAGCAGTGTTCAGGGCAGCTATTTGTGCCACTGCTCCTGACGCAGAAGTCAGTTGCCAGCTGCCCAACCTTCACCCTGTGAGCACTTGTGCACTTCTTCTTGGCTTGGCTTGCTTTCTGAGATAGGGGGCCTTTGGGAGGAAATCCACAAATGCTAAGGGGTGGATTCCACTAGGTTTTGTTCCAATCCCAGCTGGACCTCTTTAAGCCCAAGGCTCAAATTCAACCATGGTGAAGCTCTGGTTTGCCACATTCTAGTGGTGGATAAGATGGTGGAGGAGAATGACGTAAGCTGCCTTGAGCCCTTTGTAGGAAAAAGGCAGGATATAAATCGAAAAAAATAAATAAATAAAATGGTGTCAAAAGTACAACATCAAAATACCAAACCATGACAACAACAGTATATTTTATTTGAAAATTCTTATTGCCAATGACTAAACCGGAAGAGATGTATTTCAGCATTTTAGAACAGGAAGAGAACTGCACAAAACCAGGAAGACAAGCTTTGCATTTGAAGGAAAGGGGGCATGGCCATTTGGGTAATTCCAGAAGGCCAGATTGGGACCCTAGACCCACAGATCCTCAGGCCTGTGTGTCTGAGGTTCTGTACCCATGTTCTACCCCTTTTCTGTGATATTCAGTGAGATCCATGTTTAAGTACACAAGATATGCCGCTGTTAGTGCTGTTTGGACCCTGGTCACGATTCATAATGAACTGCAACAAAACTTCCGTACATCCCTAGAACGTAGTTAATCATGAGCAGCTTGCTTCCAAAGTTTTGTAGGACAGAGATCTAGTCACTCTAAATCATGCAGAGATCAGTAGAAATCTACCTATGACTAAAACCTCCTTAGATATATGGGACTTTGGTTTTAGTTGAAAAAATGGCAGAAGATGGCTTGCTAGCAAGTGCAAACATGACTACATTATTTGGAAAAAAATAATGTAAGACATTCTTAAGCCTGCAATTGAATTTGCTAAATGTATCCTTTCTGAAAAATGTGCTCTTTGAAATTCATCCTCCCCCTTCATAATAGTTGCACATTCTGATGCTTTAATCAATATGGGTACAGTGTATGTTTTAGCATGTACTTTTAAAAACATGCCATTTCTCTGTTTGAAAATATGTACCTTTCTTTTTCAGAGGAACAGGTATTGGAAGGAGACAGCTGCCTTTGGAAAAGGCAGCAAAATGAGCAATGAGGCAGGCAATGGTGAGCTCAGTAAACTCAAACATCTTCTCTCAATCTGCTTGCTCCCACATTGAAAGGACAATCACACCAAATATGGATAATATCACACCACACTCATTTAAATGCAACTTCTTTTAATGGGACTTATGGCCAAATTAGGCAAGATAACGACAGACCTATATATTTAAACATGGATCTCCCACAACCCAGAAAGACAGAAAGGCATGTAGATAAAACCAGAGAAAATACAGAGGCTAAGCAGCCAAGCACTATGCAGATACTCTGTGGCATTTATGTTAGATCAATGTGCCCCAGTCTGCCTCCCTCCAGATAGGCTGAGTTACAATTTCCATCATCCCCCAGACAGAACAGCCACTGGGATAGTCAGAGTTGTACTCCTGCACACCTGACAGGTGCCAGGTTGGGGAACACTCTGTTCAGCGCACAAAGAAGTCACCATTCCTAGGCAGCAAACCCACTGAAATCCAAATAAATTTAAGGCACAGTGTTAATTTGTCAAGCGTGTTACCATTTTCACCCCACTGATCCTCATAACAAATTCAAGAGGGATAACCTTATGCTTTAATAATTTATCTGCTTTCTTAAGCTTATGTCAACAGCAACTGCAAGGCACACAGACCATTTCATTTTGGACTTTTATGTATTATGACAACTTTAAAAGGGCACATAGGAGGCAAGAACAAGACACTGTTCATAGAGGTTTTGGCCATTTTTCTCTTGACTCAGAAGATGGTTTA